GGAGATTGTGATAGATGCTATTGACGCCTTCCCTTTTATACTAAATTCCAACTTCATTCGGAATAAGCCGAACGGATTTAAAGTCCTCTTTTGGAAAGTTGTGAAATACTGAAGTTGCTTGCCTCTTCTGTGGCCTGGAAGTCCATATTCAGCTTGATCTATTAATCATGGCAACTTTCATGACTGAGCGATCCCCGTCTATTTAGGCCTGACGCAAAGGTGACGATCCATGAATGTGGCGCAAGTTGTCGGAGGCCTTACTTCAGGTCAGCCACTACGCCCATCTACTTCTTCGATATATCTGCCATGAAATAGCGATTTGAGCATAATGTGAACAAACAGGATAGTCAGATGAGATTGGTATTATCCAATCGTGTACGTCAACATCCCTCCAGAGACCATAGTAATAATCATGGCTCATGGTAAGCTAAATAGTACGGGTTAATTGGGGAGTCAACATGTGTGAATTTAGGTAAAGAATCTTGGCATAGCTTAAATATTTTTCCCAAAAATCGGTTCTGTGGCTAAGTGTGAGAAGAAAAGCGTAGAAAGTCCGCTAGGGCAACTGCTCTAGCCATTTGCCTGATTTCGAATCCTGTAGCAAGTTTGTCAGTCTAAGCATACAATTAGAGAAATGGGACTCCGGTCGCAATTGAACTTCACTTGAAGTTCCCTTGACATTACTAGTGTGCTTCCAATTGCGGTCTGAGTTTCGCGTCCTCCGTGGGGAATACTATTTTCAAGATTTCGGTCTATCTAACACTCTGGCAGACTTTCGTTGGTAGCTTTTGGGCCCGCTTTGGAACACGCACGCAAAGGCAGTTGGCAATGCGGTCAGATGAACTCATGCTGAAGTGGTTGCTCATGGCGGAACATAAAGTACCCAAGAGTTCAATCACGAAGCACTTGGTGGACACTGGCCATACAGTTGACCGAACGACTGCATTTAAGGTCGTACTTCGGACGACCACCGGGCGTCTCTTACGCTTTGCGGAGGCAGCTGCAATACGGAGAAGAAAACGACAGCTCTGTGTAAATAGCTGGACCAATCTAGCATTGTCGTGGTAACGATCGATATACTCATTCCCGCTTACGTCTCCTCGCCACCCTTAGGACTGATTGCTACCCCGTCCCCTG